ATAGTTTGGTAAAATTAAAAAATACTTGTTTTGTTTTAGTTAAACAGTTATGTCCTAATTAGTTGGTAAAGTGGTAAGATGGTTTATTTTTTGTTTTATGAACTAAAATTTAATTTCATAAATGAAAGTAATGAGGTGATAATTTTTCATAAATTATATCATTCTTTTTGTCTGAACCAAGAAAAGATTAATTTCAAATTTTGTATAAAACAGTTAGGCAAAGGATTAATTTCAAAATTTGTATAAAACAGTTAGGCACACCTTAACCACTAAACTTAAAGTAAAAATAAATAAATAAAACATTAATTTGTTTAAAAAAAATCTTTTTTTAATGTTCAAATAATATAATTTGCTTTTAAATAAAATATTTTTAAATTTTTATCAAACACACTCAATGTCCTTTATTATGAAAGAAAAGAAAGAAAAATGTCCTCTACCTCCTTTTTCTTTTTTAGCAATTTGGGTATTCTCGAATTAATTTGTAAGGATTTGAAAATTAATTCGTTTCTAAACCAATGAAAGGTTAGACATTCACACAAAAACTATAAAATTTACAAAAAATTATTATCCTATTTATGATTTCGTTAAGTTAGATTTTCTTTCCTTAAAAGTCACAGCATGCACTTTTTAATTTCTTATTCAAGATATGCATTCTTTGGTCCTACTTAAGTTAGCCTGTGTATTATAGTAATATCTAGTTAAGCTCGGATAAAGTTTAATATAGCCTTATTAGGGAAATGGAGATGGAGATTTTTAGTAGAAAAAGAGGCACTTTGGAAACAGGTGTTGGAGGCTAAGTATAAAATAGACAAAAGGGAGATGTGGGAAGCAAATAAATGGGATAGGCTAGGATCGGCATGGTGGAGAGACCTGCGGAAGATAGAATATGAAGTAGATGGAAAGAGAGGTTGGTTCAAGGAAGGGGTAGGAAAAATAGTAGGAGAAGGGAAAGAAACTCTGTTCTGGCATGAGGTCTGGGCGGGAGATATGCCGCTAAAAGAGAAATTTAATAGATTATTCCGCTTGTCCAGGGAAAAAGATGTTTGTATTGCAGATATGGGAGAATGGAGAAATGGGGAATTGACGTGGAACTGGAAGTGGAGAAGGAGTCTCTTTACATGGGAAACTGATATGCTACAAGACCTCCTTTCAACAGTACAAGGGACAAAGCTAAAACAGGGTGAAGACGACTGCTTTGTGTGGAATCATGACCCAACAGGCAAGTACTCAGTGAGATCGGCATACAACTTATTAAACCAGAAACAAGATGATAGACCGGACCACAAATTCAAGCTAATTTGGGACAGCAAAACACCGTTGAAGATATCAGCCTTTGCATGGAAAGCCTTACAAAACAGGATCCCAACCAAAGAAAATCTTCTAAAAAGAGGCATGATTGAAGAGACAACAGGAACAAAATGCACTCTATGTGGAGAAAAGATCGAGACAGCATCACACATACTTTTCTCCTGTCCAGTCTCATGGAAAGTATGGTGTCTTTGCTACGATTGGTGGGGCATCAAGACAGCCTCACAAGAAGATGGATGGAATCACCTAAGGCAACATGTGGGCCTCATAAGTAGGGGAAGAAAAAAGCAAGCCTGGTCAACAATCTGGTTCTTCACAGTGTGGTCTATATGGCTGTGGAGAAATGCATTGATTTTTAAGGGAGAAACACAACGTATCGAACAAGTTATTGAACACATCAAAGTCCACTCCTTCTCATGGATCAAAGCAAGATTGAACCCAGACCTACCCCAATCAATCTGGTTTAACAACCCAAAGGAAGCCTGCAAGATACAAGTACAGTAATCTTCTTTTGTGTAGGGATATGGCTATGTGACCGCAAATCCTTCCTTTTGTTTTATTTGTAATTATGTTATAATGGGTTGAGGTACCCCTTGTACCTCCAAAATAAATAAAATTTTTTGCTGATCAAAAAAAAAAAAAGTTAAGCTCGGATAAAAGTCTTAGACCACTGTTAATGCACTGCTTACTTAGGTTCTTATGCTACATTAATTTGAAGCTGATCATAGAATATCCGAAAGAAAAAACCAAAACAACAGACCATAAAGAGGGATAAAAAGCCCAAAAGCAAATGCAAAAATGTAAAATAAAATAAAATAAAATACATGTCTGTGCGTCGAAATAAAGAACAAAGCCCATGATGAACCATAGTGGTACTCCTAGCATTTCGGCCAATTCCCGTGTATCTGTATTCTATGGGATGGAATGGAATTACCTAACCTTAACATAATAAATAACTTAATCATAAACATCTGCGGGGATAGCTCAGTTGGGAGAGCGTCAGACTGAAGATCTGAAGGTCGCGTGTTCGATCCACGCTCACCGCATTTG